GACGGCAGCTGTGACGGCCGCATCGGCAGTGCCAGTTTTCGGGCGGCCGCCCACGGCGGCAGCCATGTCAGACTCGCCGGCGGCATCATCGTCTACGTTAACATGCGTACCACTGAACGTATCAGAGCAAATAGGTGGGACAAAATGCGTTGTTCTTTTCAAGAGCGTGCCAGGGCAGTGCTGTGCACAGTACCCCATGGGCACCCACTGCGACACCCCGTGGGGCAACAACTACAGACCAGCGAAAACAGCCTCACAAGTAACACCTACGCCCACGACTACGGCGCCACCAACTCCAGATCCGCACGCAGCTCCGACACCAGCGACAGCGCCGGCCCCGAGTGCAGCCGAGACGTCAGCACCAATGACAGCAGCTCCGACGCCAGCATCGCCGGCACCGAGCGCAGCCGAGACGTCATCGCCGACGACAACTCACACGCCAACCCTGCCAGATTCAGCACGCCCTGAGTCGTCCGCGGCGGCACCAAAGGTGGCACCCACGTCAGTCTACACGGCAGCGTTCGTGGAGCGTGTGTGGTTGGAGGTCATCGAGTGGTACAACGTGGTGTCACCGTCCACGTGGGCCACCCTGTGCGCCACGTACGTCATGTACTCCTTCTTCATCGGCTTCCGCGACGAGTGGCGGCGACGGAGCGCAGCTACAGCGCGGCGGCGACGCCGACGGCGCGGGGGCGACGTCGACCGCAGACGCCCTCTAGGCCACCAGACGGCCGCCCAGGGCCGCCCTGGCATCAGCCCCCACACTGCCTCGAGCCTCGAGCCGACCTCCCTTCCAAAACCTGGTAGCACGCCAGCGGGGGCGGCTTCAGCCCCCCCGCATGGCACCACGCCTGCCATTCCTGTCATCGGCCCCCACACTGCCTCAAGCCTCGAGTCGACCCCCCCGCCAAAACCTGGTAGCACGCCAGCGGGGGCGGCTTCAGCCCCCCCGCATGGCACCACGCCTGCCATTCCTGTCATCGGTCCCCACGCTGCCTCGAGCCCTGGGGTGACCTCCCCGCCACAACCTGGTAGCACGGCAGCGGGGCCAGCCTCGGCCGTCTCGCATGCTCACACGCCTGCCCTGGGTCCTGGCTCCCTCGCAACCTCGCGTGTTAGCACCAGCACTGCCAGCACTAGCACTGTGACTGTACGGGAGCACTTCGAGCGCTTCCTCGGACCGCAACCAGCCACCATCGGTCACCTCCGAGCCGTAAACTGCCGTTTGGCCGCTTGGATTCCACCACGGCTCCACGCGGGCACAGCGGTCATCGTCCAGGGCCAAGTCCACAACCCCATCAACGGCCTCCGAGGTATCGTGCGGGGGCAGTCCAGCGAGCACCCCGGCCACTGGACCGTCACGCTGTCGTCTGGGGGCACCGCCCACCTGAGCTGCTTCAGTCTGACCGTCTCTGCACCTGCGCTCCGCGCCGAGATGCCGTCCCCCAGTACGGGCGCTCAGACCAAGGCCCAAACTCAGGGACCCCAGCCCGGCCCAGCAGTGGACCCACGCCACCGTACCTCAGCAGCACAGCGCCCTGACGTCACGGCAGCAGTACCCTACAGGCCACCTGCGCTGACCGTCCCACCAGGCAGCCGCGCCCAGACTGAACGCACAGCTGACTGTGAAGTCGGACTCCGAGACTCACGCGACGACGGCGCCGACGACCACTACCTCCACCACGACCTCGGGGTGCCAGCGCCCGTGGGCTTCTGGGACCGGATCGGGTACACAGCCGACGGCCCCAGCTACGGCCCCCCTACGGCCGGCCCCTCTGCGGCGAAGCCCGTGAGCAGCAGCGTCGCCGCTGGGAGGCAGGACGCCGACCCTAGCGGCCGCAATTTCCAGGGTGCGGACACGCTGCGAGAGGTCGCGGAGATGCTGTCGCACCTGAAGGAGCAGGACCTGCTCCAACGACTGGAGGCTGAAGAGCGCTCCGACAGGAGGAGGCTGAGGAGGCTGAGGGCCGAACGCAAGGCCGCAGCAGCCGCCGAGGGGGGCGGCGGGGACGCCGCGCAGGCCCAGGAGGAGCCACCCTACCAGGATGCTCCGGCTCCTGCGCTCCGCCGGGCCAAGCGGATCCTCTTGTCATGGGTGTTGGCCGCGTACCTGCCGCCTCTTGTGGCGGTCCCCGACCGCCGCCCCGCTAGGCACACCCACTGGTTCCGCGAAGCTGGTCCACAGTACGACGGACCGAGAAAGGCCGACGCGCAGCCGACTGCCCACCGATGCATCGAGCTCCGCCTATGGAGTCTGAGAGCTCCTGGCCCCCGCCCGACTCTGGCCCGCAGTTCGGACATGCTCCTAACCTGCGTGGACGCGGCCCTCGGCCTCCCGCACGGCCGCACAGCAGGCCTCATCCACCGCGCCACTCTCAAGCGTCTGCGCACTGATACTGTTTTCCTTCTTCAGTTTCTTACGTGGTCCGACGCTTTTGAAGAACGCTGGGGCTTCTCATTCACTTTGCCCTCATCCTGACCAGCGTGGTACGGCCTCGCCCTCGCCGCATGTGCGCGTCCTGCCTTGCTCACCCGGGCGCTGTTCCCTGGTGTGCCGTGCCTGCTGGCGGGGGTGGCGGCTCCAGCCCCGCCCCACGCACCCGTGTGTAATTGACTTCACGCCTCACGAATGTGCGCCGCCGGAGAAAACGACCCATTTCAGCCAAAAGGGGTCGTTTTTCGCAGGGTCCCGCGGCATTGCATTTTCGTGTCGACTTGTATCACATTAGTGCATTCCGCCACAGCTCCTGGCGAAGTGATTGGGAGCAGCAGCGTTCAGTGATGCGATCGGGAATTTAAGGGGGTACAGGTCTTTCCCTTAAGGGCAGCGGGTGCATCCGCTGTGAGGGCCTCCTCTGCACCCTTGCACTGTCCCCGCCTGTACGCATGCTGGGCCATTCGGCTCCCAGCATGTGCACCTTTTCCTCAGCGCGTCTGGCGCCCCTCTGCCGTCCGCCGCCTGGCCGCGGACTCTGTCTCCCTCGAGGTCCGCCAATGGGGGCTAAAGGTTAGCTGGCAGCGGCTGGTGCCGCTGTGCTGTCGGCTAGCTTTTGCCGCTCCTGTTGGGGTTCTCGGCCTGTGCGCACTGTGCTGGGCCATGCGGCTCCCAGCTGGTGCACCTTTTCCTCGGCGCGTCTGGCGCCCCTCTGCCGTCCGCCGCCTCGCCGCGGACTCTGTCACTGCGCGCTGTGCTGGGCCATGCGGCTCCCAGCTGGTGCACCTTTTCTCTTTTCGCCAGCCCGTGCGCCCGCGTGGCACCGCGTCTACGGGGCCTGGGCGTGGGGGCGGGGGGTGCCCCGTCTCTGCGCGCCGCGCAGCGGCCAAGCGCCCAACCGGCGGTCCGCCAAGCCGCCTTAGCCACGTTTTTCACGTCGCCACTTGCGTTGGGGCCTTCTTCTTCGCGCGGTCTGACACGTGAGATCTTCGCAGTCTGTCCGCCGTCTGTAGCGTCTGTCGCACTGCGCCGGGGGAGGGGTTTTTTGTTGCCCGCCCTCGTATCTAAGGCTGCACCGCCGCAAATAGTGTTTAGCGAGTTGTCGCACCGCAGTGCGCCTCGCGGACGGACCCTGGTCCGCCTACTTGTCCGCTCTCTCTCTCTCTCTCTCTCTCTCTCTCTCTCTCTCTCTCTCTCTCTCTCTCTCTCTCTCTCTCTCTCTCTCTCTCTCTCTCCCTCTCTCTCTCTCTGCTCTTGTCTGTTCACCCCTGAGCTTTTCCTTTTATTCTGCAGCTACTCGTCCACAACCGTCGGTCGCGCTCTTAACTTTGGCACTGCGAATGGCGATTGCACCGGCGCGCCCGAAAAGCTGGGGCCGTAGGCGACCCGAGGAGATGAGGGCGAGGAGGGGGGGGAGGAGAACGAGGGGGAGGAGAAGAAGGCGGAGAAGGAGGAGGAGGAGGAGGAGGGGGAGGAGGGGAGGAGGAGGAGGAGGAAGAGGAGGAGGGGGGGGGGGGGGGAAGGGAGGAGGAGGAAGACGAGGAGGACGAGGAGAAGGGGTCGCCTAAGCCCTTCGGAGAATCCCTCCACCCAGACCCCCGACGTCGCGAGCTTCGCGCAACGTAGCTTCGACACCTAGGCCCCCATGAGTCATAAAAAGCTCACGACGGGATGTTTTTTTTCTATTTTCGGCTCTGGGGGCGCTCCGGGGGTCTCGGGAGCGTCAAACAACGAAGCAGGATGAGAAACTGGTCCTGGGGAATGGGTCGAGAACTCCGGGGGTTGCGTCATGAAAAAATCACAACGTCGGAGGTCTGGGAACATCGTGATCTTCACGCAACGCAATGTAATTGGGACTCTTCTCGCTTCGCGGGGTGCGTGTCCAGACCGTGTAGAGTATGGGCGTTTGGGGCTTCCTGGGGGGCCTCTTTTAGGAAGCAGCAAATCCACTCTCGTAAAAATTACCCTGGCAATCTCCCCATCGGGCCACGAAGCGTCGCACTGGGTGTGTGTGTGTGTGTGTGTGTGCGTGTGTGTGTGTGTGTGTGTGTGTGTGTGTGTGTGTGTGTGTGTGTGTGTGTGTGTGTGTGTGTGTGTGTGTGTGTGTGTGTGTGTGTGTGTGGGGTCTGAATGCATCGCAGCAGTATATGTTGTTCCAAACGCATCTTGGGTCATGCGATGCTGCCTCTGCCGTGTCCCTGCTTCCGCCGCCCACTCTGGTCCGAGATGTTGAAGGCGGGCGGGGTCTTTTCATCCAGACCACTCGGTTCAGTGGCAATTCCAGGCAGCTGGGAGCCTGGTCGTCCTAGCAGAGAACAAAAGGTGTTCTGACATTCTTCGAGTGACTTGATCCCGAAGATCAAGGAGATACGTGTCGAGAGAGAGTTTGAGGAGCCAGGATACATCACCAGCGTGATTGAGTACCTCCAGAGGCTCCTCGGGATTTAGATTGGTAGCGGAGCTCGTGGAGACACTACCGCGGGCTCCCGCCAATCTCGTCACGATGGCGACTACATCAGGCTCTTAGACGCCGGCCAGAGTGGAGGTGCCATCTTGGAACGGGGAGGCAGAGAAGCTGTCGAGCTACCGCTTCGAGGTGGCCATGTTCGTGAAGAGCATCAGGCTGAGCGACCGCTACGTCTGTGGTCCACAGTTGGTTCGGGCGCTTGGGCCGCGGGTTCGGAACGCCGTGGAGAGCTGCCCGTCCATCAACGACGTGGACCGTGTGGACGAGGACGGAAGACTGGTCGGCTGGGAGACAGTGTTCAACTACGTGCTGGACAAGTTGGACTACGCCAGCCTGAACGACACAGGCCTACTGGCAGAGGAGTTCTTCCTGGAGATCGCGCGCAACTCCGGCGAGACCTTCCAGGACTGGGCCGCTAGGTTCGAGAAGAAGGAGAGAGAGCTGCTGACGCAGCTGCAGGCGATCGACCCGGACGTCAAGGAAGTGATTGCCAAACCGCTCCGTACATGGTGGTTCTTGAGGAAGTCCAGGCTCGCGCCCGTACTACGAGGTGAGGTGGCGGCGACCGCCGGGGGGGATTTCAACTTTGCGAAGACCTACAAGACCCTGTTGACACGCTTCCCGGCGGAGTCCTTGGCGGATCTAGACGGCAAGACCAAGAGGGAGCGGGCCCTGTGCGAGAACGACGCCGACGACGACGAGCACGAGACTGGTGGGGAAATGGAGGAAATCTACGAGATGGTCGAGCAGCTGATCAACTTCGCAGACGCGGACGACGACGACGACGAAGAGGCTGCCGACCTGGAGGCGGACAACGAGGTGTTCGCGCAGTTCCGCCAGGCCGGGCGAAGTCTCAAGGATGCTCGAGATCTGCTTCGACAAGTACGTGTGGCGCGGGACTACTACCCGGCCGTGGTGCCAAGGGACGACGACAAGCGCGTGGCGCCACCTCCCAAGCCACATCCAGGAGGGCGACTTCGGGGTCCTGGCAAAGGTCGAGGACGTGGACAAGATCGACGAGTACGGTTCGAGGGGACACGCGGCCTCTCCAAGATGAGATGCATCATCCGCAGGCCCACGCGGAAAGAGCTACCGCTGAGGAATCGACCTGCCCCATTCACACTCACATCGCCGACCCCTCCCTCCACCCTTCAATTTACTTGATCTTGCGGCTATCGGCTGCGCCTCCTCCTCTCCTCCTCCTACTGCGCGGGGCACTCTCACAGCGGGACATGGGCGCAACCCACATCTTGGCACAGGCGAAGACGAGGCCGAAGCCGAAGCCGACGACGACGCCGACGCCGACGCCGACGCCGACGACGCCGACGTCGACGACGTAGACGCCGACAGCGACTTGTTTGTGCCATGTTCCCCCCGCACCGTGCAAGGAGGGCATCCCCAGGCTGAGGCTGTGGCAGACGACTCGGGCCACTACACGCGGACGCACCGTGCTGCGCAGGGCACTCTTAGTGCAGGGCATGGGCACAACTCCCATCCTGGCACAGGCCTCCCAATTGTGAGCAGTTCCCCCCGCGCCGTGCCAGCCTGGCGGCCGACCTTGAGGCTTGCATTTCCCCACAAAGTCCTGCCGGGCGTGCAGCTGGAGCTGTCGCGAGCAGATCGCGAGCCCCCCAGCCAGGGCAGCGAGGCCCTCGCGGTGGAAACTTGCGGCCAGGACACACGGCCACGCCAGAGGCCCGACCCGCGGCAATGGCCAGAGCCCAAGGACCCCCACACGGGGCAGCAGCTGTACAAAACAGGAACCAACAACATCCAGTGGGACCTCCCCGGGGAGACGCCCAGCGAAGCGATGCGACGACTCCAAGTCGCACTAGGATTGATGTTCACTGGCACCTGGCACGCTTTCGCCAAGCGGCAGCCTGTGCCCGGCAGCAAGGGCGCGCTCGACCCGCTTCGGCGCGACCCGCAAACCTGCCACCTCTTCCTGGAGTCCTTCCGCAGCCCCAAGTGCGACGTACGGGTCCTCAGCGACGCGCTGGGCCTCGACGTCGACTGGGCCCGGCAGTGGCAGCTGCACCTGGGTAGGTGGCGCCCGGCTCACGTGGCACTGTCCCCCCCAACGGGCTGACGCCCTTCTCTCACACATGGTCCTCTTGTTCCTCTCTTGCTACGCTCTCTGTTGGGTTCTCTTTTCCCCCCCTCTGTCCAATACTCGCGTCTTACACTGTTGGGTTCTCTGAGGTCACCGTCGCCACCAGGCCCACTTGCGGTGTACCGCTCTTGGAACGCTCGGTTGGGTCCTCTGCGTGGCGGGCACCTTCCCCCCCTTCAGGCACTCTTGCAACGCGCAGTTGGGTCCTCCTAGACCACGGGCGCGACCGCGACGTCGACCCTGACGGCGCCCGCAAACGACAGGCGACAACTTTCCGACCTGTCGCACCCACGACCCCCCTCTCCAACAGTGCAACAGGCCAGAGGATCGGAGCGGAATGTCACAGCGGAAGCGGCGGGGGCGGCGGAAGCCGCGGAGCATCCCCCTCTGGACAGTCAGTCCGTCAGCAGCCCTCTGGCTGAGCCACGCTCACAGCAGGGAGATCCCTGTGCGTTGCCCCTCTACCTTTTCCACACTTCCACTATGGTGGCCGCGGTCCGGTGGAGTCGTTCCTCCCCGCCGGGCGGGCACCTTCCCCCCTTCAAGTGCACCGCTCTTGCAACGCTCTGTTGGGTCCTCTGCGTGGCGGGCACCTTCCCCCCATCAGGTGAACCACTCTTGCAGCGCGCTGCTGGGTCCTCTTAGCGACGACGACGTCCGCGACCACGTGCACGATGCGTTGTCGGCCTTGACGGCAACGACAGACGACCACGTTCCGACAGTCACACTAACGACTCCCCCCTCCAACAGTGACAACAGGCCAGAGGAAAGGTGCGGGAAGTCACGGCCGATGCGACGGGGGCTGCGGAAACCGCGGAGCATCCCCTCTGGACAAAGCGGCCGTCAGCCGTCCTCTGACTGAGCCACACTCGCTGCAGGGAGACCACGGGGCGGCCATCCAGACACAGGACAACGCAGCCATTCGCCGGCCCTTACTCAGGCCCATGCGGGAGAACTGCCACTGATGACGCTGCAGTCCTGCACAAGTGGTACATCCTTTGGCAGGCTCCTCCTTCCCACGGCGGGACCGGCCCACTGCTGTGAAGGTTGTCCCCCCTGTTCCTGCGACGGAGTACGCTCGCCCGTGGCCGCGGCTTGGTGCGCGCGCGACGCCGACGACCTTCCCCCCTGACACGCCCCTGGCAACGCTCTGTTGGGTCCTCGGCAGTCTGTGTCGCCTGGCCCACCGGCGCCTCTCCTTCCTCCAGTATTCACCAGATTTGCTGCTATCGGCTGCGCCTCCCCCCCCTCCTCCACGCGCGCTGAGGTGCTGAGCACGCCAGTCGGCTTCCCCCCAACAGTGCCACGTTTTCGCGCACGCTCCGAGGTGGTCACTCCTTCCACGCGGCAGGGTGCGCCCGATGGGGCACTGGCAGGTGGGCCGTGGAGGCTGGCTTCCTGTGCAAGTGGTGCATCCTTTGACTGGGCCGTGCTTCCTCTTGGCAGGCGTTCTCCGGCACCCGGCTATGCCAGCGACATCGGCCCCTTCCTTTGGTAGGATTTGTCGCTCGCGGACGCCGTCGACCCCCTCCAACAGTGACAACAGGCCAGAGGAAAGGTGTGGGAAATCACGGCGGAAGCGACGGGGGCCGCGGAAATTGCTGAGCATCCCCTCTGGACAATCCGGCCGTCAGCCGTCCTGTGGCTGAGCCGCGCTCACTGCAGGGGGGCCACGGGGCAGCCATCCAGACGCAGGACAACGCGGCCATACTCAGGCCCATACGGGAGAACAGCCACTGATGACGCCGCAGTCCTGCGCAAGTGGTACATCCTTTGGCAGGCTCCTCCTTCCCACGGCGGGCCCGGCCCACTGCTGTGAAGGTTGCCCCCCCCGCTCCGGCGACGGAGTGCGCTCGCCCGTGGCCGCGGCTTGGTGCGCGCACGACGCCGACGACCTTCCCCCCAGACACGCCCCTGGCAACGCTCTGTTGGGTCCTCGGCGGTCTGTGTCGCCTGGCCCACCAGCGCCTTTCCTTCCCCCAGTATCCACCAGATTTGCGGCTATCGGCTGCGCCTCCCCCTCCCTCCTCCACGCGCGCTGAGGAGCTGAGCGCGCCAGTCGGCCCCCCCCCAACAGTGCCACGTCTTCGCGCGCGCTCTCAGGTGGTCACTCCTTCCGCGCGGCAGGGTGCCCCCGATGGGGCACTGGCAGGTGGGCCGTGGAGGCTGGCTTCCTGTGCAAGTGGTGCATCCTTTGACAGGGCCGTGGTTCCTCTTGGCAGGCGTTCTCCGGCATTTGGCTATGCCAGTGACATCGGCCTCTTCCTCTGGTAGGATTTGTCGCTCGCGGACGCCAACGACGCCCTGCCCTTCTGCGGAGTTCAGGTGGTGCGCGCCGGCCCGCAGTATCCCCCAGGCGGGGCCTCTGAACGCCGGTGGGTAGTGCCGCCGTGGCCCCGCGCGACGCCCCCCCCGTCCACGGACGCGAGGCAGTTGCCACTCGGGACTCACGACAAGACCACTGACGCCTGGTTCAGTGACCACCTGTCTTCGAGCACATGAGGTGCTCTGTGAGTGAGGCTCCCTTCGCCCCCCTGTCCCTCTCTCCCCCTTTTCCCGCCCTTCTCTCCCCCCCCCCTTTTCCTGCGCCTGCCTGCCTCTTCCCCGCCTGTCCGCGTTTGGCGGTGCACCTTCTGGGGCCCCGTGCTGCCCGCAGTGTCTCTGCCTTCGCGCCGGGCCGTGCCGTGGCAGCTGGCGCCGCTGTGCCTGCCTTCGTGTCTGCTTCCTAATTAGGTTCATTTTGTTCCTCGCGCGTGCATTCCGTCGTTGGCCTCTGGCTTCCGCTGGCAATTATTTTGCTTGCCGCCCCAAGCTTGCTCGACCCGCTCTCTGGAATCGTCCTTGGAGCCGCCGATCAAAAAAATATCCCCGCCAGCCCATCCAGAAACGATGCCCAGGCGAATGGAGGTGATCAGGGATGTGATGGAGCATGCAGAGTAACACAGGGTCGGGGAACCCGTCTTACCGAAAACGGCGAGGATGTAGGAGGAATCGGAGAAGGATGAGGAGGAGGAGGGGGAGGAGGAGGAGGAGGAGGAGGAACTGAAGGAGGAGGAGGGGGGGCGGGAGGAGGGAGGAGGGAGGAGGAGGAGGAATAGGCGGATGAGGAGGAGGAGGAGGAGGAGCAGGAGGAGGAGGAAAAGGGCGAGCAAAATGGCCAGAGGCTTCTTGGATGCCTCTCGGAGTCTCTTCGGATGTCTCTTGGGAGCGTCCTGAAGGCCTCTTAGGGCGTCGTGGGAGCGTCTTGGCGGTCCCGGAGGCCTCTTGAAGCGTCTTGGGTGCCTCGGGGAGCCTCTTGCGGCCTCTTAGGAATCTCTTGGGGGCCTCTTGGGGGCCTCGTGGGGGCCTCTTGGGGCCTCCTGGGTGCCTCTTGGGGCGCTCAGGGAGGGTCCGGATTCGCCCTGCCCCTCTAGAGCGCTTAAAATCGCCTCTTGGGCCCCTCTTCGTGCGCTCTTGGGGCGCTCTTCGGCGCTCTTGGGGCCGTCTTAGGGCCATCTTCGAGCCATAATGAGGCCTCGAATGGCCATCGGAAGCGACAAGGCGAGAAAACAAAAACCATTGATTTTCCTTGAGTTTTGGAAGGATTTTGGCCCCTGGGAGGCCTCCTGGGAAAGCTAGTTGGCCTCTTGGAGCCGTCTTGGGGCGGTTTTCGGGCCTATTGGAGCATCTTCGGAACCATCTTGAGGCATCTGAGGTTAGCTTGAGCAATCTTGGAGCTCATCTTGGGCTCCCCGAGGCGCTCTTGGAACCATCTTGGGCCATCTTGGACGCTCTAACTACCAGCGAATCCTCCCGTCCAGGTCCAGGGGAAGGGGTAGGGGGAGGGGTAAGCCCCTCCCCGAAGGGGAAGAAAAGGGGTTGGAAGAGGAAACTCCCTAAACCACCTACGCCCAGAGGGCTGGTGGGATTAGTTTTGTTTCTATGGTTTTTGCATGTTTTTCGTG